GTTCTTGACCATAGAGGAAAAGCTATCAGTTCTTTCTCATTAGGATGATACTAGCTGTGGGTTTTTCATAGATGACCTTTATTATGTTGAGGTATGTCTCCTCTAAACCTACTTTGTTGAGGGTCTTTATCATGTACTTTGTCAGATGCTTTTTCTGCATCTACTGAAAGGATCATATGGTTCTTATTTTTTCTTTTGTTAGTATTGTGTATCATTTTGACTGATTTGTAAAAATTGAACCACTCTTTCATCCCAGAACTAAATCTTAATTGATCATGGTGGATGATTTTTTTAATGTATTGTTGGATTTCATTTGCTAATATTTTATTAAGAATTTTTGCATCCATGTCCATCGGGAATATTGGCCTGTAGTTCTCTTCTTTAGTGGAGTCTTTATCTGGTTTTGGCATGAGGGTAATGCTGGCCTCACAGAATGAGATCAGAAATTTTCCTTCCTATTCTATTTTTTCGAATAGTTTGGGTAGAATAGGTATTGACTCTTCTTTAAATGTTTGGCAGAATTTGTTTTGAAGCCCTCTGACCCTGGTCTTTGTTGGGAGTTTTTTATTATGGATTCAATTTCTTTACTGGTTATTGGTCTGTTCAAGTTTTCTATTTCTTCCTGTGTCAGTTTTGGTAGTTTCTATGTTTCTAGGAATTTATCCATCTCTTCCAGGTTGTCCAATTTGTTGGTATATGGTTTTTCATGATATTCTCTTATAATTGTTTATATTTCTGTGGTGGTGGTGGTTGTTATTTCTTCTCTCTCATTTGTGATTTTTTTCATTTGGGTCTTTTTGTTTTTGCTAAATCTGGCTAGAAGTTTATCAATTTTATTAATTTTTTTAAAGAACCTACTTCTGGTTTCATTGATCTGTTCTATTGTTTTTTTAGTTTCTTTGTCATTTATTTTCTTTAATATTTATTATTTCCTTGTTTCTCCTTCATTTGTTGTTCTTTTCTAGATCTTTAAGGTGTAAGTTTAGGCTATTTATTTGAGATTTTTCTTGCTTTTTGAGTTAGGCCTGTATTACTATATACTTGCCTCTTAAGATGGCTTTTGCTGCATCCCAAAGGTTTTGGACCATCGTGTTTTAATTTTCACTTGTTTCCATCTACTTTTTAAAAAAATCTTTTCTTTGATTTCCTGGTTGAGTCATCCATTGTTTAGTAACATATTGTTTAACCTCCATGTATTTGTGGTCTTTCCAAATGTTTTCTTATGGTTGACTTGTAGTTCCATAGCGTTGTGGTTAGGAAAGGTACGTGGTATGATTTCAATCTTTCTGTATTTGATAAGGACTGATTTGTGACCCACTATGTGACCTATTCTGGAGAATGTCAAGCCCCACATCAGGTTCCATGCTCAATGTGGAGTCTGCTTGAGATTTTCTTTCTCCTAAATAAATAAATAAATAAAATCTTTTTTTTTTTAAATGGAGAAGTTTTCTCTGAGAGAATATGGAACATGATGGGCATTCCTGGGAACAGACAAACTTAAGTAAATATGTATACAGAAAATTCCAATGTGTCTAGAAACAGAATAGTCTGCTTTGGTCAAAACATATGGTTCTTACAGGAAAGAGTATGAGATAAGGCAGGAAAAACAACATGTGAAAAAGGGTTTGGATAAGTTAGAGTAATAGACTAAGAATTTTTTTTAAGATTTTATTTATTATTTTGACAGACAAGTAGGCAGAGAGGCAGGCAGAGAGAGAGAGAGAGAGGAGGAAGCAGGCTCCTCGCTGAGCAGAGAGCTTGATGCGGGGCTTGATCCCAGGACCCTGGGATCATGACCCAAGCCAAACACAGAGGCTTTTAACCTAACCCACTGAGCCACCCAGGCGCCCCTAGACTAAGAAATTTTGACCCACCGCTAAAGTCATCTGAAAACTAAAAGTGTAAAGCAACAGGAATAAAAGGTGTATTTCAGGAAGATTTAGTGAAGGATAAATGGTATTGTGGCAAAATAACACAATAAGAAGCTATTGAAATAATCCAGGAGGATAGCAGCAATATTTAGACCTCATTTAGGCAGAGTCAGGAGGCAGAAGCACTATGGAGGGCCAAAAGGTTGTGGAGCCTCATGCTGGGCTCTGTTTGGTGGCCTCTAAGTAGCGTCCCCTTTGAGAACGCCATCAAACAGCAAGGAAGTCTCAGATGTTCTTGTGGCCCTGGTGACTAGTACCACTCATTGCCACTGAACATAGCTGGAACAGAAAATTGGAACATGGCAACAAATCCTTCAGGACAAGATTTCAAAACAAAAACAGAGCTGCAATCTTGGCAGAAATGGGCAATGAGGAAAGAAAATTACTAGTGTAACCAATCTTCAACCAGATCATCCTGGAGCTAGCAATGCCTCTCTTAAGAAGGACTTTCAGGGGCACCTGGGTGGCTCAGTCAGTTAAGTGTCTGACTCTTGATTTCAGCTGAGGTCATGATCACAGGGTCGTGAGATGGAGCCCAGTGTGGGGCTTGCTTAAGATTCCCTCTCTCCCTCTCCCTCTGTCCTCCCACCCATGCTTGTGTGTGCGCATGCTCTTTCTCTGAAAAAAAAAAAAAAGACTTCCAGGTCATGGGAGCAGCAGCATATAATAGCCCAGCAAAAAGTGAGTTTGCAGCATGCATGCACATATTCGTTTGGATGCTTCATAACTCAAGATTCTGCATTTGGGAATCATATTCTTCCTCTTTTACCTCTCCCTGACCTAGAATTAAGGAAATATTTGTAATGAAAGTGACTGCAATATCAGATGCACAAACTACTATCATTCAGAATTGAATTCAGTGACTTCCAGAATTTTATTGAACATTTATAATTTTTGCTTATTTAATAGAACAGTATGTGTAAGTCAAAACAGAAAAGAAGGGTCACCAGGATGATGTAAGCTTTGGAAGTGGTATTATCTGAGTGACTGATTATGTTACTTATGGCTGTAAATTTTATGTAATATAGCTTGAGTTTTTAACTCTAAATCAGGCTCTGATTTGGAAGGTCACATAATTCACTCCTGCACCCCCAACTAGTTGGATTAATATGTCCACAATAGACTTTCAAGAACCGTTTATAGTACTTAACTTTAAACAAATGAGGATTCTTTAAAAATGTGAACCAGGAGGCTTAAATAAGTTATATTCATATTTATTGTTTATAGAACAGATATCAATGTACCTTTTGAGTTTATAGTCAACATGCCATCTTGAAATACTGTATAACTCACAACTAACTCCCCTCTTCTCCATTTTAAAAGGAAATTTAAGTTAAGACTAAGATGACCAACCAATCTTAAACATTTTTATAAAGCTACGCCACTAAAAGTTATATGACTAAATGGTATTAATGACAATTAGTTTTGAGAAATGTGGTTTTGAAATTCTACCTGCTTTTATTTAGTGTTACTACATAAATGGTATGCTTCTGTGTTTTTATTGTCAATTTTTTGCTAATTGAAAACATATACAAGTTGGAAAAAACTCATTTAGGCAGGTATCAAAACTGGAAAGCAGTCTGGGTGTAATGGAAACACAAGAATGAAACATTCAAGAAAATTTGCTCTGTAAAGTAGGGGCGCCTGGGTGGCTCAGTGGGTTAAAGCCTCTGCCTTCGGCTCGGGTCGTGATCCCAGGGTCCTGGAATTGAGCCCCACGTTGGGCTCTCTGCTCCGCGGGGAGCCTGCTTCCTCCTCTCTCTCTCTCTGCCTGCCTCTCTGCCTACTTGTGATCTCTGTCTGTCAAATAAATAAATAAAATCTTAAAAAAAAAGAAAATTTGCTCTGTGAAGTAAAATTAAAAAGGATAAAACACCTCAAACTTGATTAAAGGACTGCTCTAAGTCTGACAAATGAGCACCAACGTTTATCTAATGAAATAAATTTGTTATAAAGTAAGAAGCCAAGTTAAATTGGAGTTGTAAAAACAGGTAGATATTCATAAATTGTGGAGCTTAGAAAGGATGGAAAGAATAAAGAGATAAGAACAATGAACTTTTGGAACAGAGTTTATAAATTCTGATGAAAAGAGAAATTCAGAATACTTCCTCCATGCAAAATTCATTTAATACAAATGATTCTTCTTCAAAGATTCTCTAACCCTTCTATTATTGTATTTTTTCAGAAGTATATGAATTAGTTGCTTATATCCCTTGATTCCTAAAAACAAACAAATAATGCTTCTAAGTTTTTCTTCCACAAGTAAATACTTGAGATCTTGGATTCCTAAGAGGGACCAAGAGTTCTCTTAACAGAAACCTAAGAAAATGGAGTAACCTGAACTCTGAACAAAATATTTTAAAATATTTTAGTGTTCCTGCTGTGATTCACTTTATTGTCAGATTTTTATTTTTATTTTAAAACGTAAGAAAATCTGGGGCGCCTGGGTGGCTCAGTGGGTTAAAGCCTCTGCCTTCAGCTCAGGTCATGATCTCAGGGTTCTGGATCGAGCCCCGCATCAGGCTCTCTGCTCAGCAGCGAGCCTGCTTCCCCCTCTCTCTCTGCCTGCCTCTCTGCCTACTTGTGATTTCTGTCTGTCAAATAAATAAATAAAATCTTAAAAAAAAACAAACAGAAAAACCCGTAAGAAAATGTGTTTTCAAGGCATAAGGAGACCACAGTAATGGTCACACTAAAGATTTAGAAGTTAAGTTTCTTACTGCTTTCAGTAAGCATGGGAATTGTGGTCCTGTGCCTTAAGGAAACTGAAGGGAAAAAAATCAGAGGTTAAAATAAAACTTAACACTTATTAATAGAAAGTTGGTATTTGTAGTCCGTACTTACTATTTGGCCACATGATGTCGCTCTTTACCGAGAAATTTTCTCATTCAAGACAAGACTAAGTCATCCATTTTCATACTGGAAGGACTCCTCATTCTGTTTCTCTAAGCCGACGAACAATGGCGAGCGCTTCAGGATAGTAAGGAAGAGATGAGAAGATTCCTCCAGATTTTGAGACACGTTACGATTTGAATGAAAAAAAACAAAAACAAAAACAATTAATTTGAAATGGTGTACTTGAATCGAGGCGACCGGGAGCACCGGCATCTACTGCTGTGTTTTATAATTCTCACAGTCTGGGAGACTGGAAGCGGCCAGGTCCACTACTCAGTCCTGGAGGAGGCTAAACACGGCACCTTCGTGGGCCGCATCGCCCAGGACTTGGGGCTGGAGCTGATGGAGCTCGTACCGCGCCTGTTCCGGGTGGCGTCCAAAGACCACGGGGACCTTCTGGAGGTAAATCTACAGAATGGCATTTTGTTTGTGAATTCTCGGATCGATCGGGAGGAGCTGTGCGGGCGGAGCGCGGAGTGTAGCATCCACCTGGAGGTGATCGTGGACAGGCCGCTGCAGGTTTTCCATGTGGAGGTGGAGGTGAAGGACATTAACGACAACGCGCCTGTGTTCCCCCAGACACAAAAGAACCTGTTTATGGCAGAATCCAGGATGCTAGACTCTCGGTTTCCACTAGAGGACGCTTCCGATGCAGATATCGAAGAGAATGCTCTGTTGACTTACAGACTGAGCCCGAACGAGTTTTTTTCTCTGGATGTACCAACAAATGACGAACAGGTAAAACCTCTTGGACTTGTATTACGGAAACCTTTAGACAGGGAACAATCTCCGGAACTTCATTTATTGCTTACGGCCACTGATAGAGGCAAACCTGAGCTGACCGGCTCCGTTCAGTTACTCATCAAAGTGCTGGACGCCAATGACAACGCCCCCGCTTTCGATAAAACACTCTATGCCGTGAAATTACCAGAAAATATTCCCAATGGAACTTTGGTAATTAAACTTAACGCCTCAGATTTGGATGAAGGCTCGAATGCGGATATTATTTACTCATTCTCTAGTGATGTTTCCCCAGATATAAAATCTAAGTTCTACATTGATGCCATAAACGGAGAAATTGTAGCAATAGGACATATCGATTTTGAAGAAAGTAAAACCTATAAACTTCAAATAGAAGCGATCGATAAGGGCTCCCTACCACTAGCTGGTCACTGTACAGTTCATGTGCAAGTTTTGGACGCTAATGATAATGCTCCTGAGTTGGCTCTTACTTCCCTGTCTCTCCCTATCTCAGAGAATGCTCAGCCGGGCACAGTCATCACCTTGATTAATGTGTCTGACCGAGATTCTGGAACTAATGGGGAGGTGACCTGCTCACTAACACCCCATGTCCCCTTCAAGCTGGTGTCCACCTTCAAGAACTACTATTC